TGTTTCGTTTATTTTTAATTAATTATACTTAAAATATCACGATCGTGGTATAGAGATAAATAATTCTTATCGCTCGAGAAAGACCCTATTCTCGATAAATTCCTGACTTTCGTGCGTTATTAATTTATTTAAAAATTATACAACATTGCCAATGCCCGGAACTCTTTAGAAATTGTTTTAGTATGCTTAGAACTGTACGAAAAATATTTTATATAAGCCAGAACTCCGAGATTTTCTACAGCGTCTCACCCACATACCCGTAAATGCGTCTTTCTTGGGCGATAAAAATTATTTAAAATATGAATAAATATAATGCTTATCGTCAGAACTCTTTAGAAATAAACGTTAGAACACGTTCAGAACTATACGAGAATTATAATAGAACTCACTGTTACCCATGTGTATTGTTTATTTAAGAAAGTGTTTTTATTTTTATCCAATTATCCTTCTGTTGTTGCTCGTAATTTGGCCGCTTGAACATGCATAGGTAAAATAAATTTAATAAGAGTGCAAGAAACATTATAAACTACCATTTTTTTCTCAATATAGTTAATAATATAATTATTGGTATGCATTTAAATATTAAATTTGAAATTTATTATGTAAAGTAAAGGTTTTTAATGTAAGACTTTTTTAGATAGAAAAGCATAGAACGGTGATTTCTATACATTACATTTACGAATTTTAGTTTTTATGTTTATAAATATTTATTTAATTAATTATATTTGCAATCTTTATATATTTATAAATTTCAAATATATATACATATATATATATATATATATATATATATATATATATATTTAATTATAAATATAAAAATTAAAATTTGTATACAAGCAAATGTAACGTATATAGCGTGTATAGCGTATCGTCGATTTGTCAACTCGAGACTCGGCACTCGGCGAGACACGAGACGCGATACCCGAAATGCGTGGCATCGTGGTATAGCCGGCAAGCCGGCCCGTGCAAAGCGGCAACGTCACAGCTCAAGAGAGACAGCAGATCGTATGTCTGCCCTTCTCTCCCCGCTCGAAGCTTGCCGAGGGCCTAGCGTACACGGACAGAGGAAAGGCTTGTGCGACCAGCATATCCCCTCCATCTGATAGTTCGGACACGAACCATAGCATGGATACGAACCCATGTATCGTTACCCAAGTCCTCTCTGATCGTTACCGAGCGTAACGCCGTAGTTGACGTCCACTTTCTCAGAGGGCAGATTAGGACAGACGTCCCCCGAAGCCGGATGGCCGCTCTCAGGTTTTTCTCTGCTACAGCTATTGTAGATCGGGCATTAGAAACTTGCCTCACATCTTTTCGCTTAAGGGGATCCTGCAGTGACTGGCGAACTTCCTCGATGTCGATAATGTCAACCTTTCTAATTTTGTTTTCCCTATATCTGTCTTTGTCTAACGAAATGACATCTGTCCTTTTTTCGATTGCTCGCCATCTCTCGCAAGATCCGGCAACTACTGTTGCTGCTCTTCTTGTCATTTGCATCCGTATTTGCATTACTAAAATAATTTTTCGATGGATCTTTTTTTGTACGCATTGAATCTTACTTCTACTTGCACGATATTATTCCTACATGTTTTCCCAAGGGCAGATGATAAAAATTATGTATGCATAAACCGCAGAATTTTTGTTTTAAGCAAATATTGTCGTCAGGTGACAGCTGCGTATGTGCCCAAAAAAGTAATATTTTTAATTTTTTGGTGTTTTTGATATAAAATCGCGTTTTCTACCCTAGATTTTTGTGCGTACTTTAATTCTAGACCAAAACTTGCAATTCTGTAAAGCCAATTAAAAGATCCATCGAAAAACAATAATGTCGGTAAATCATACGGCTGCAGGATCCCCTTAAATTAAGTCCTAAATTTCACCGCCTCGAAATAATCCAGAATAAAGCCATTAGAGCCTGCTTGGGCTACCGAATTTCTACCCCCATCAATACCATGTTCGCAGAAGCTAAGGAGCCGCCTCTTAAACTTCGTCTCAAATTCCTGGCGGCGAAATACCTAATCAAAACAATGTCTATTACCGATCACCAGGTTTCGGAATCTATTAGCGTTTTTTCTTGGCTGCACTATCGCCTACTAGTGCAACACTAGTGCAACATTAGTGCAACGCTATTGGGTAGTGCAGGGCAGTGCAGGGCGGTAGTGCAGCCAAGAAAAAACGCTATATGTTTCAACTAGCGCTTACATCCCGAGAATATCCTGCGGGCTTGACACATTGTCGAGAAAAATTTTCCCTCTTCGATTTATTCCGACAACTTAAATCCCTCCGACCTTCGCTACACACTGCAGTAGCCCCCCCTCCCTTCCAACATTCCTATCAAACTATCCTCTTTACTCCCATACTCTATCATCCGGAACAGGATTTTATTGACCTTATTGATCAAGTCCCCAAATCCACCGTACAAAACCTATTCCTTCAAGCGTTTGGTCCCATTATGCGAGACTCCATTGTATTTTATACGGACGGTTCCAAGATGGGTTCGGCAAATTGGGTGGGAGCCGCGTGCTTCTCGCCACAACTACAACGCAGTCTGATGTTTAAACTCCCAGCTCGAGCTTCAATCTTCACAGTTGAAGCTTGGGCCATATATAATGCCGTTTTACTCATTTTAGACTTAGATACTCCCAAATTCACCATTGTCTCAGATTCAAAAAGCGTCTTGGAGGCGCTTACAAATCCTGTCACGTGTCGCTCAAATTATTTAATTCCTCTAATTAAATCCAAAATTATTTACGCACAAGAGCGTGGGAAAAACATTCAGCTAGTGTGGATTCCCTCTCATAAAGGTATCATGGGAAATGAGATTGCTGACGAATTTGCCAGAAAGGCTATCAGATCAGGTATGGAATCTCCAGCATTTAAACTACCACATTCCGATCTTTTTATAGAACAGAGAGAAAAGCTCGCTACGGAATTTCATAATTATTTATTTAGTAGAGCCAGATACAAGGGAAATCATTTTTTTCAAAACATCTATGTCAACTCCTCTAAGCTCTAGTATTATAAATTAGGACTGAAACGAGATACTATAGTCGCGATCTCCAGACTGAGAGCGAACCACTACAACCTCAATTACAGCCTGTATAGAAAAAACATTATTGACGACGGCTCATGCGCTTGCGGCGAACAAATTCAAGATATCACCTAATTTTTTATTGGCCTCTAACATTTAACTGGGCTTCGAGTCTCCGGCTCGCAGTAACATCACTCAAGGGCCCTTCCTGCAATTACATATTTCCTATTCTGAAAAAACCTACCAACAAAATTAGCCGCTTAATCATGTCCTGCAAAGCAGCCAACATTAATTTGTAAATGCGCGCGTCTCCCGCGAGCACAAATGGCCTCTGTTCCCCTCCATATTCTCTTTCTCTCCCTTCTTTAGAGGGTCTCTAGGTAGGACTATAAATCGCGGAATACAGGTAGGTAGGTAGGTATTCGGGTAGGCAGGGACAAGGGGGATTAAATTCGATAGAAAAAATTGTAAACAAAATAAAAGTAATATTGTTAATATAATAATAAATAGAATTATATTTTTAATATTAACAACTTAAATGTATATTAAATAATACTAATTTTTATATTACAAATTATTTAATATATTAAAAATTAATATTCAATAATAAATATCAATTTTTATTTTAAATAATACCAATTTTTTATAGATAATTGTATTATATTGCATTTTACTGTAAATATTATGTAATTATTATGTATGTACTACATATATTATTATATATGTGTATCATGTATATAAATTGTGTATGCGTAATTAAATTATGTATATTGTAATAACTTTTTTATAATGTTGTATTATTATATTGTAAAGTAAATTGTAAGAGAAATAAAGTAAATGATAGAAATGTGACAAAAACGTATATTGTAAATAAAAGAGGACCGCCGATTGGAATCGGCGGGAGCGGTGGAGGACCTCTATATAAGTTGACCTGTTTCTAGCGGATGTTAGTTAAAATCTAAGATAAAAACTAATATTTAATTTATAACTAAGAAAATGCAAAGTCCAAAACGCATTGGACGGCCTTTAAAAATATTGCTTATATACATATACCTTTTCCTTGATACGAGTACCAGATTAAATCAAATGAAATTGTGCATTACCAGATGAAATCACGCAATTTGCAGATGTAGCACGGACGCGCACCAAAATGATGTTTTATCGGAAGTATCGGAAAATGAACATGGCTACGTATAGTATCAATTTTGAAAATGGATGTACTGGCGCTAGTGTACAGAGGCTTTTCTCAGGCTTTTCTCTGCTGCTGCTAACGTCCGTCTACCGCTACGGAATGGTTGACCTTAGACACATCAGATAACCTGTCTTCTTGAGGAATTACTCATCAGTAACATTAACATTACTGAAGTCATAAAGAAGAAAGACTGATTTACGTTTAAGTGTATTTTCAACTTTATTAGGAAACTAGGCAAAATAATTTAGTGCAAAGATTGGATTAATTAAAGATTAACCTTCTCTATTAAATCAGCAAAGTGACACAATAGAATTAAACCGATTCACGTATCTCATCGTAAAAGAATTGCTACAGAAAGTTAAAATCTTGCATGTACAATTCAATCTCTGGATAAGAAAATTTCTGAAACGGCTTCTAGCCGCAATAATAATCTTTATTTATTTTACACGTATATACACGTACGCCATACACATGAACCCGCATGCATTTGGTACAAGAAGCACATACTACATATGTACACATCACAGAGAGAATTCCATGCAATCGTCCCTCAGACGGACTACTCCTGGTGTGGCCGGTTATTATTTCTGTAGGGATCCTCTATGACGATGGAGTGACAGATCAAATCGTAGCCAGTTCGGTTGAACCGAAAGAAGAACAGGGAGAAACAAATCGGGAATACGAACGCCAGCACGAAATTCTTCACCAGTGACCGGCCCAATGCTAACGGCAGGCCCAGATCGGTTCCGGGGCTCACCAAGACTAAATCTGGCTCATTCGGACGTTCAACGGGAGTTATGCTTCGGCACTGAACCACCCGTAAACCCATCATGTACTTGCCAGGAGTAGCACCGCCAATAAGACCGTACACTCCATGTTGAAGCCAGAAGGCCTGAAACGTTTTATAGAAAAAAAAATTAACTCAGTCTTTTTGTGTGGATTTATTTTTATAAAAGACTGTTTAATCTCTTTATGAAATATCAATGGATTCAAGTTTCCTTACCTCAAAGATACAAACTATCACGCGATGAATTACTTCCAGAATCAGAATTCCATAAGTCATCTCCAGAGCCATTTTATAATCAATACGTAAATTTGTTTGCAACAAATCTAAATCCTCGATGTCTCTGAAGCATTAAAAAAGACGTTAAAAATATTATAAATTTAAAAAATTGAATAGACATAAATTATGATTGTAAGAATCGCATTGACAAGTTATATCTATTCGTAACAAGTAAAATTTGATAAATATCTTTTAATTATTATACACAGTGCCGTGTTTTTTTACCTACATAAAGTCGAAGACGTCGATTGCGATGAAGGTGATGGAAAACTTCAAGAGAAATAGCATTGTTGAATCTATAAATTCCGCTGCGAACCTCTTCCAAATCGGAGGAATTCGATACTCGTAACCTGAATCGATAAATTTAAGAAAGACATAAATCAACGATATTTAATATGTAACAATCTAATACTTATTTAAGACTAATAACCATCAGTTCCTGGAGGTTGGAAGGGTCCCGCGGATTGTTCCTGAGGCCTCCTTTGCCTCGCTGTCTCATTTTGTCTGTCTACATTTATCACCCCTTGTGTATTAGACGATGCTGTAAAAGATATTTATCAATTTTTACTTGATATAAATAGATATTTGGTTGGAAGGGTATTAAAGGGTATGAAATCATATGTCTTCTTTAAACTTCAATTCATTTTTAACGCTGAAGCTATATCTCGACAGTTTCTCAAATTGGTCTAAAATTGTTCTTTATTATGTAGTAACAACTGTAATCACTAAATTTGTCTAAAAACAAGAGTACAATATCTTAATAATATTTATTAGAAATACGTATTACATATATTTGTATAAACAAAAATATAACATAGAAAAACTCGAAATACAGATAGTCATTTCTTGGTTTTTTGCCCTTGGAAATGTCACACATGATGATTTCAAAATACTTGCGTTTCATCGTACCAAGTGTCGGATTCGGATTAACGATGGGTTGCCCTGACATCACGTAATGCGGGAACCACGCTGCAAAACTTTGCCAAGCGTATGCCTCCTGGTACCATTCTTCCAACTTTTTGAAATATCGCGATCTCTCCTCCGCCGGATCCATTTTACTTTCGGAATCCGGAATACGTTCGGTTTCCATTTCGGAATCCGGAATACTTTCCCGCCCCGGCGTGTCGTCGTTTTTGTCGTCTGCCATTTTGGCTTCTCCGCTTCACTTGTGTAAGAAAATAAATCGGCTCGTCAGTCTCGTCACTCAATAAAGTCGTGGAAGCTATCGATATGACGTTTATATCGCTCTAAAATTTCCCCCCTTCGTTTGGCACGATAACAAAACAATGACAATTGACACGTACGTAGAGCCGTTGTCACTTCGTCGATTAATTTTTATGCTATAGGAAGCAATTGACAGGCACAAATGCAAGATGCGTCGGAAGAAGATAAACAAACGCACTGATAACGTTATATTTAATTGTAAATAATTGCAAATTACTTTCGATACCTCTGTGGCAATCAATCACTACGCTCGTACGTAAACGCGCTAGCTAACGCTGCTGTCTATCACTGACGTGTACGACATCAAATGGATACAATGTAAAGCTTTTTACTGTTGCGATATTGCGATCATGGTTGCGATAAACCAGTGAATTTCCGTCACGACAGCGTTTCCCCCAGACTTCAATCGTGGGGAAAACTCCTAGGCTGACATCTAAGGCGCATTTCTTATCTGAGAACATTATCAATAAAAGTTTGACAAAAATTCAGAGTATTTTCTATTTCTATAAAATCTTGAGAAATAGTTTTTTGCTATATATAATATTTCTGTTAACATTGAAATGATCTGTGATTTTCCCCTGCCCGTTACGTGAAAATTCTAGATTATTATACGTATATTATCATCTGCTGATAAAAATATACTAGCAATAAATCGATCAGAACCTGTTTCTAAAATTAAACAAAAGTACTGCAAGAAAAAGGTTTAAACTTAAAGCATTCTTTGAGAAAAATGTTGTGTGGTATTTTTTACTTTCATTCTACTTCTTGAAAGTGATTTTTAAAGGTATAATTGTAACGTAAATGACAAACGAAATCATTCAAGACCGACCTCTGGTAGTTAAGACTGGTATCAGAAGTAAAGGATAACTTAGACTTGTCCAAAATAGTGATTCGGAATTTTATCCCAATTATTGTTTCATCAAGGAATCACTAACATTTGGCAGCCAGAATATAAATGCTGAGTTGTGCTCCGATTTTTTTTAAATAATTGTGCTTATAATACAACGTTTTATATATTCTTAACATAATTTAAATAAAAAAAAATGTATTATTTAATTAAAACAAAATTAAAAATTTATTTATTCTGATAATTTAATGAGTTAAATGTAAAGAATAATTTAATGAAAAGGCACAGCAAACATATATTTTAAATTATCAATTTAGATTTCACACACATACAGGAAAGAATCCAAGATAATCTTTTTACTTGCTTTTCATAATTATTCTTTCACTCGAATTTTCGCTCCAAACGTGTTCACTTATTTCAATTCAAATGGCATATAAGTGTTTTTTCAAATAGTAAATATAAATAGAACAAAAACTATATGTTCCGCTAGTGACTTTCTGTTTATCCGGCATTCCGAACGTCTGAAATCATCTGTCCAGGGTAAAGGTAAAAATAGAGGTAAAAATCCAGTCAAGAGCGAGGATGACAACACGGCCGTTCCTATCCGGAGTCCGGACTCGTTCAATTTCTCACAATCTCTTTTCTCCGCTCCCATATCCGAATTTCTTTCATTCGAAACTCCAGGAACAAATCCAAGTTACCCTGCCTGGCGTTCTTGGCAAGTGCAGTTCAAAGGAAATATAGGGACTTTCCTCTGAACCGGAGCTCGCACGCTCGCCGTAGACACTGGTTTTCTGGTCGTGGCGACGTGCTCGCAGCTCCGGTTCAGTAATCACGGTAGGTCGCGATGCGCGTTTCCGACTGACGAGAGTGTGACGAGCAGTCGGGCGGGCCAGCCAAGCCAAGTCGTCCTCTTTCGTGCGCGAGACTCTCTCCGCGATAAGTACCCTAACCGAGACGGTGGTGGCCGCCGTCGTGCTGCACGCACGCACGCACGAGTGCTGCGGGGTTGAGGGTCGCCGGAGGGTGGTCGCGTGGGCAAGCGTCGCGCCGTCGCGACGCGTCGCGCCGCGGCGACAGTGACAGCTCCGGTGGAGCACCTGAAGAGAGGGTGTGGGCCTCGCGCGACGCGGACGATCACGCAGCGGGACCTTAGGTAAGGTCGTAAGAGGATGGATCCGTGCCGGACACGCTCGCGCCGCGCCGGGGAGGTTCTCGCCCGGCATCCGGGCGAGGAATTAATTCCCTCGGGACTCTTGCTCTCCTTCAGCTTTCCTGCTTCCCCCCGCGAAACCGACCGTTATTACTCGTCTCGCATCGCACGATCGCATGCAATGCGATCTCATCCTCGCGGAAATGCGTGTGACGCTCGCGCGAAGATTCGGGCTCTGACATTTTATCATTGTTCCCATTCGGATACATTTATCACGTTGTACCGAAAAAAAGGATCTGACTTTGATTCCACGCGCGAGAAAAGAAATAGGAGCGGACCGTATCGTCCCCGATCCTCCTCCTTTGAGTCATTTCGACGAAACGCCAGCCAGCCGGAATTCCGGAAATTCCTGCGACTCCGAAAAACCGGAGTTATCTTGCACACGAAGTATGTGCTCGCTCGTAAACAGACGTAAGTCTGGAATCCTGTTCCTTCTTTCATAATTATTTGCAATCGTACGTCTCTAATACGCGTATCTAAAAAAAAGGAGAAAGATGAGTGAAAAAGTGTCAGGTTAGCCTGTTTGATTTAAATTTATACTGATAAACTTGGAAACGTTTAGAGAAAATCTGATTTTTGAAAAACGAGACTGTCGTTAAAAATAAGAAAAATCTTTCTTTCAAATATCTCTGAAGTTTTATAAGTAGAAACGTTATACAGGGTGTCAAAGTTGTAGAAAGAAGAAAAAAATGAAAATTTCGAACATCTGGAAGACGTTTAAAAGATATTTCATTCAAATTTGGTATGCATACTTATGGTATTAAGAATCATTTTCCAGTACCGGTGAAACATTTTTGGATCCACCAAGGGCGTACGTATGGATAAGTTTATATTTTGAAAACAAAGCAGTTTAGGACATATATTTATTCGACCTTTTCTTTCTATGCCACGGAATATCCCTTTCAATTTTTTTGTACTTACTTAGGAAACACTCTGTATATACGTTTCCAAAGTCAAACGTTCTAGAATCGAAACAGAATTTAGACGAATTTATGCGTAGCTGCATAAAATAAACGTGAAAAGAAATTAATTAAATATCACTAATGCGAATAAGATAAGATAAAACAAAAGTAGAATCAAATAATAAATACGAATTTAAATAATAACGAGAGAATTTGCGTAACGAAATCCTCGCAATTAAATGTCAATTAGGTATTCAATTAATTATTACTTAATGCAGAGTATTATATAAAGAGACTGTAAACTGCGGGCATTAAGGTAATTAATCTTACGTAATTAACTCAAAAGTGAAAAGCAAAAAAAGCAAGCGAGCTCCGTAGCAACTCAAGTTTAAACTAAAAAATACCATATTGCGTTCTATCTATTCTGTGTAATTAATCGATTTATATTTTTTTAAGCTCTGTGAAAACAACCTGTTTGATTGGGTCTTCATTCTAAAAGCTGTATTTTAAAAAGCGTCTAAACCAGTAACAATTGTTTATAACATTACAACAACAATAATGCGTCACACATCCAATTGATACGAACAAACTCATCATAAAAAAAAATAAAAGAAATCCCGTGAGCTTTACCGAATGCATTTAGAAGTTTTATGAATTTTAAAATTTTATTATCAGTAAATAAATACAGAAAATATAGACAATAGAATATCAGTATGACGCATTTCATTCGTTTGCTGATTTGGAAACGCTCTGTACACGCGATTGTGCTAAGAAATGTGTCGAGAAGGAATTCCATCTGTCATCACAGCAGGTCCCGAAGATTGCTTACATCGAGGCTTACATCATTAATTGCTGTGCGATCCGTCGCTTAAAGAGCTTGCCTGCTTTCCTTGTTTTTCACTTCTGCGTTAATTACGTAATATTCATTTTCTTAATGCCCATAGTTTGAGTTCTTTTTATATAACAATCTGCATTAGGTAATAATTAATTGCATATCTAATTGACAGTTAATTGCTAGAATTTCGTTACGCGAATTCTCTCGTTATTATTTCAATTATAGTATTTACTATTTAGCTGTACTTTTGTTCTGTTATTTATTCGCGCGTTAGTAATATCGATTTGTTTGTCGGTCTTTAGTAAAGTACTTTGAACGATGATGCTTTTGATTATAGCGTCGTAAATAGCGATATAACGCTGACCACGTAATTTGACTCTATCGCTATCATTATGAATTTTATTATCATTGCCAGTATCGTAATTCTTGCAAACGCATTTATTTATGCGGGCATGAATTTATATATGCGGGGCCGGCATACACACTCGCCCCGAAAATACTCATTTATAAAAGCCGTCGACACGAGCGATGCGGCCCGATTATCGTTATCGATACGAGTAGATTTTCTCTTCCTCTGAAAGAGAGCACGCTAACGTAGGGGGAGATGGGGAACTGGGGAGATATACGTTTACCCCGTTATCAGGCGAGACATCATCAATGTTGCATCCACAATTGTGTGGTTTCTGACCCGATGTATCGAAAATCGAACGTACGTACAGGCCGACAGGCCGCCTCGTCTATCGCGCCGATCGATATTCTCCGCTTTTCACCGTCGCTTTTCACCACGCGACGTTAATTGCACGCGCCGACGACGGACGGAAGATGCATCTTGATGCATCTCGACGCGTTCGCTCCCAGAATCGGCGATACTCACGCGACTCTCGTCGGTCGTCGACGAAACGCCGCCCGGTGGACGCCCGAGTAAAAAAGACTCCGAGCGCGCGCTGACGTTGACAAATACCGTCGTGATAAGCTCTCTTCTTTTTCGGAGAAACACAAAAAAGCGATAGATGCACTTCTGGGAATTTTAACCCGCATTTCATTCTTTCGCACGACTTAAATGCCTTATTTCTCTCTTTTAACACGATAAGAGAAATAAATAATGTCAGATACATGATTGATTTATGGAAATAAAACATCATTATGAGTCGTTAAATTCGATATGCAACGTTGTATTAAATCGAAGAAATGTAAAGATAGCTTTAAAATTATTTTTGTGGAGGAAACATGAAGATTACGTCGTGGATCGTTATTATGAGGTGATTTTATCATTACATAAGCCATTATGTAAAACTTTAGATCATTACTATGTCGCTATAAACGAAGCAATAAAATTATGGAGTATTGTTTCGTATTTTTCCAATTAATTTTTTATTCCTTTAACTTATTGTTTTTATGGCACATTTTAACATTTTATTATAATACTTTATACTTTTTATATACTTTTAATAATATTTTTTTCTCTTTAATTTATAAATTTTATATTTCTCCACATAATTTATAAATTCTGTATTTCTGCATCTGTGAATATATTCATCGCGTATCTTTCTCTTCTGTGTCATTATATCTTGTATTTATATCTCTAATTAAAAGAGAGAGGATGCGACGCACGGATAGCATATTTGCAGCGTGATGAATGTATCTTGTATATGCAAGGGCCAAATATAAATATGAATCGCGCTTTTCTTTTCGCCGCTCATTATCATGAGTTGCATCGCCGCGTTCGTCCTTGACGCTATCGATGATCAATAGTCGTATTGCCGAAGATATATAGTGATTAAATGAAGCATTTAATGCGATTTCCACAATACGTAAACACGACGCCGCATCCCAGCCAACTCTACTTATCGATTTTATTCTACTCAATAAATGCGTTTATTATACGCTATGAATGAGAGATGCAACAGTTTGTCGTGCCGCAAATTAGTTGCTCTTGTAATTAATTGCCGAGTTTTATTTGCGTAACTGCATTTTGAAATAAAAAAAAAAAATATGGAAAATATACCGCGCTAGCATTTGTATCATATTTACTGTACTAATAAAAAAGCTAATAGCAACATTAATTACAAAACAGTAAAATTTATGATAAATTATTTGTTTAATTTACAGTAATGATTTCTAAAATTACTATCTATGTACTTTTATATATTCTTAAAATCAGATAATTTATTTGTATATCATATATTTTTAACGAATAATCTCGTAAAATTTTACCATTACATTTATTCATTAGCATGATGTTTTACGAGATGTTTTACAATTTACTGGTGCCGCGCATTTTTTTCCACCGTTAAAAATTCCAACTGGGAGCTACAGACGGGGAAGGGGAGCGGTCGAAGTTCACGCGGCGACTCTCTCGGATCGATATTCGTATTCTGCGAAGTCGCGAGAGCCTTAACTTAATCTGGGATAGTTTAATCACGCAGAATTATACGCTAACTTCGTTAACTCGTCCCTGTCGATGTGGTCGCCTTTTCGAGGCAACGCTTAAAAAAATTCAGCCCATTAAACACAGATCAAATCTCCTTGAAACTCGAGTCGGTTTATTCGCCGCGCGATATCGGAAATTTTCTTCGGTTATTAGATTGTCATGTAAAACGTTGATTTCCTATTAACGGCTTTCGGGGAAACTTTTTTGAAACTTTGACAGTTTATGGACAGCAAATCGATAATTATTGAATTTAATTATTTTTAATTGTACGTCAAACACACGAGCGAGGAAATCGAGTGTATATGAAATATTAATTCAATTATTATTTTATATATACGATTCTCCGAGCAGAACTTCTGTTGAGAATACTTGAAGTCGTTGTAAAACTATCGATGCTAACCTTGACGAGACATTTGATAGTTACCAATTACATATTTATATACGCACTCGGATATA